CGTTCTCGGACGTTTTGAATTATGCTGCCTGGATCAAGCTTGTTCGGTTCACGAAGACATGCCCACTTGGGTATGGGGAAGTTCAGGGGCGAGCTGATCGGTCTTAACTAGACCGCAACTGGAAATCACCGATCAAGTTATTCTTGTTGCTGGCTAATAACTTGCATGGACAGATAGTCCTCTTTATATTACCGTGCATATGGAATCTCCGCTCTTGGATTTATGTTGCGGACGCTTCCCTTCCATTATTATGCGTGTTGGTTGACGAAAAGAAACTCGACCCCGACGCCTTGAGCGGTGCTCAGCTACTTGGAACACGATGTCGACTCTGGAGGAACTGGCGATGAAGCCGGCGATGCCGGCTCCTGATGGCCAAGAGACCGACTTTAACCAGCATACGGAATATCCAAACATCCTGCTTGGCTCATTTGTTGTGTCCTACTTCTTGGCCACACTATTTCTTGCCTTGCGCCTCTACACGACATCCGCGATTGTGAGACGATTCGACCTCGACGATGGTGCGTCAACCCGATGAACGAGATTCGAAGATTGGGATCTTATTAACAACTTCAAAGGGCTCATTATTCTGGCCTGGGGTCTATCAGGCGCCTACTGTATTATCATGTGTCTATGTAAGTTGGTGCGAATAGGGACACGCGAGATTCTCCTCTGACCATCCCGCAGGCATTGATTATGGATTCGGAAAGCATTTATGGAATGTCTCTGCTTTGCAGGCGGCCAATTATTTGAAGGTGACTACCAAGCTCGAATCATGTCAAAAATCTCACCGCACAACGCTCACCAGTTGGACTCGAAGCTCCTCGGACCGAGTATGATGACTTACTCGTGGTCAGTCTCGATCGCCAAACTTGCAATGCTGGCTCTGTATCACCGAATCAATACCGACCTTATTTACCGCATCGCAATCTACGCGACGACACTCTCGATCTTTGGGTATCAGATTGCCTTTACGTATCTCTTTACCGGGCCTTGCGAGCCAGCGAATTCGGGCGCTGGAGAGTGCCTTAACAAGGGGGCCATAGCCCAGGTCATCCTCAACATCGCCTTCGATATCATCGTCATCCTTATACCGATACCCACGATAATGAGTCTGAAGATGCCACGAAAGCAGCGTGGGCTTGTGATTATGATCCTGGGGCTGGGTTCTGGGTAGGTCACTCCACAACGCGAACGAAATTCACCAACCTAACTTTCATACAGAGCCGCCGTCGTCTCAGCCGTCAAGGTCTGGTGGGTCATGAAGATGATTGACAGCCCCGACATGACCTACACCCAGGGCCAGGCGACCATCCTCACCATCTGGGAGGCCAACGTCAGCATCTGGTGCAACAACCTCGTCCGCCTCAAGCCCTTCATCCGCCGCAACATGCCCCGCCTATACGCCCTCATCGATTCGACGGGCAAGTATGGCAACAACTACGGCGGGAACTCGCGCAGCGCCGCCGCCGCCACCGCGTCGTCCGGGCTGAGGCCCTGGGAGAAGGGGAGGAAGGACGCGTCCAACTGCGAGCTCTCGGCTATTCGCAAGGGGGGGATCCCCCTCGGCTCGAGTACGGACCTAACCAATGGCAATCCGGAATGGATCACCGTCACTACCGACTACACGGTCGACGTGGAGGACGGGAAGGCGAATAGCACGAATGGTACGGAGGCGCAGAGTAAGAGCTTCATCTCACGTTAGCGGGCCTAGCAGAGGGCAACTCTGGCGTACATGTATGATAGCGATAAAAGATTTAATCAACCTAGATGAAAACCTCAATGTTATAAAAGTGATCCGATCCACATCGATATTATTGTTGTCTGGTTATGCGCCCCTTGACAGGATGCAGGTATATAAAGACATTAAGCGTCTAATAATTGCTTAACGGTATATTATTGTTATTATTATCAACTATTTCATCAGTATTGCAACCCACATTGGAAAGTTGGGATAGAAATACCTTTGCAGCCTTGTTGCAATGCATGAGCGCCCATGTTCTCCGACCAACAACTTTTCTTCCACCAGCTCATCTTCTGCCCTGTATTACACATTCCGCCTACCGTGCTCCATTACCACTCTCTCAACCTTCATATTGAAGTCATCATCGTCCTCATCCTCTACCACTTGGTCAAACACATCACCCGCCCAATCCTCCATCTCCAATGCGAGCCCCACGACATCCACTCCCTCAAATGGTTCGTCGGGGGCGAATGCCTCAGGCAGATCTTGCTCAGTCGTGCGATGGAAAGCTAAGCAGCGATGGTCCCCAGTCGGGATGGAAGTCAGAGGGTGATTTGTCGTACACTATGGTTGCCCAGTCTCCCAGCGAGTCCATCGATCTATGCGCGCCGTCCATGTATAAGGGCAGCCGAACAGGCAACAGGCTTTAGACGGTAAAAATATACTGTCGCCGACAGAAATAGGTTCACAGCAATCTCTCTCGGATGTTGACTGGCTCTGTCGCACCATATAGGTGCAGAAGTCGCAGAGTGCTTCTGTCACTTTTCCAGCAGACGTGCAGTCACTTTTGAAAGGTCTCCAGAGCCAAGAATCCGCCGCGACTGCTTCAGGTTGACTGATCAGCGTGTTGAGATTGTTTGGCTCTTGGGGGAACATCTCCTCGGGCGATAGGGCGTCATATCAACCGTTGTCTTTTGTGGTGCTGTTTCCGTTCTTGCCTGCCGAGGCACCCAACGCGTAGTTTGTCCAAGATGGTCCATCTATAATTCGAGAACATTACACGAGCCGAGTGAAATGTGCGAACCAAAACCTTTCAAAGGCTCAGTATCAGTATAGATGGTCCCCTCTAACGCCTGGGCTATATCCATAGCCTTACGCCATGGCCATAAAGCTTTCATTAGGTCACCATCGCTAATACCTTCGTGAAAGTAACGTGCGAACCTCTGTTGTTAGAAGGGTATTGAGCGTCACTGGTTTCCATGAAGCCATTCCATACGGACACCGAGTCGAGACGCTTTTCTGAAGTCTTTAAAGGGTCCGATGTCTGGGCACCCTAGCCACGGTATAGCATGTGGTTGTCCACCGTGCATAATCTTAAAGACTAGGCAGCACGTCAATCCAGCCCGAAGGTCATATTTTCGCTTAATATGAGGTGCGATCACAAATGGGCACAATTGATGTTTGCCATCGCCCTTTCGGATGCCAACATGGATCGTAGGATCTTCTCGATACCGAGCCAACCTGACAGGCTTCCTGTATGTGGTCGTTCCACGCTCACCGTGGAGGAGAGATCGTGTTCTCATGCAGTGTACAGGGGTGCCATCCGTTATATGGAATAATGAAGAGACGGTGTTGCATCCATCACCCTCCAACTTTGGTCAGTTAGATGGCTCCCTTGCTCGAGCAACAACGGCGTGGAGAAATAGCCGGTGGCGCAGAAGCCGAGGATATGCTGTGATGGCAGCATGATAAGTTCGGAGCATAGATATAATCGTTTGTTCCCCCATGTTCAACACAAATGACGAAACTTTCGTTGCATCTTCCGCTTCCCGTTCAACCAAAGGATTCATGTGGCGGTGTTCTATAGGTGACTTCGAGCTTTGCTGTAGTGAGCAGTGGTATGCGTGTTCGTTGTCTCGTATAACCGCCTGCAAAGCTGTCTGTCCACCATAGGTGGAAAGGTATTGACGTCCAAATGCTGAGCATCTTGGTGTGTATATAGGCGGAGATAGATGCATTTGGATCCCGGCGGAGGCCTTTGGGTCACCTTGGGCAACCATGAGAGACTATCAAGTGGGTGGGTGACATTGAAATTGAGACACTCAACGAATAAGCTGCTTATTCTTAAGTCTGAGACCGGTATTATCGGATTATTGAGTCCCAATAATATATAATACTGTATTTATTGTTCCTTTCTTCTATTTTATACTTCTGAAATTCTCTATTTCTTCTAGAAAGTAGTTGATTAATAACCAACTCTTTTATTAGGTATCTCATTTCTGCTGTCACTCACTTGACTATCTGCATTGAATACTCCATCCTGAACAGTGGCTCTGACTTCAGGCGTGAACGCGTTGACGATGAGGTCGACGCTTTCCTCAAATTATTCATCTGAGAATGTTGATATCATGGCTTCTTCAGATATTCCAAGTGTACGAAGGGAACAAGAGAACCAGGCTGCTCGCGCACTCCTGATCAGAATAAGCGGGCGAATCGATCAAGCACCGGTCCTTGAACGGTTGCATTGAATGTAATGGAGTTGGTCGTTATTGTTTGAGATGCTGCCAATTCTCAAGAGGCACCCACAGCTGGCCGATCGTGACGCAATCTCGGGGTATAAAAACTAAATCGGTAACGAAAAGGTTAGCGAGCATGAAATAACTCCGCTCGAACGGTGTTTTTGTTGTGGTGAGAAGGAAAAAGAGGAATTGACCTCGACTGACGCCAAGCAATCTAGAGAGGTTGGAGAGCTGAAGGGGATGATCGGCAGACGGGCTGAGACTAACGTCGGACAGACTGTGAACATCCGGAAGCTCGAAGGGGACACCAAGAAATACCGGCCTGAAGAATCTGACATAACCCAGGAGCCTGAGGCAACACGCGAGAAACCCCAGGGCGAAGAATCCGAGAGATCGGAATCGGATGATTCGCAAGACGTGCCAAAGCCACCTTCCAAGAGACAAAAGGAGTCGAAGGCACATGAAAAGAAATCTCACGGGCGCAAAGGGAAGACATTGCGAGGGATGCACAGCTGATTTCCATCGGAGGGTGAAATGTAACACGCGCAAAAGACAGTGCTAGCTGGTGCCAGCTTGATTTTGACGCGGTTTCAATAGCACTTGCCCTCGCCCTTGTGTCTGCCTGAGGTTTGCATTGTGGTGGGAGGAAGGAGCTGGTCGAGGCAGGAGCAGCCAAAGCAAAGAAAGACACCAGGACAAGCCCCCCAACAAAAACTTCACAGTCACCGCGACAAAGTACATCCAGCGACCTTTTCTTTTCTTTCGTTTGAAGATACCCAACTTCTGCCGGATTTCGCGCCATGTCTATCAACTCGATTGACCCATCCCCTCCTCCGCTGCCCCTCAATTTGGACGAGTGGCCATCCGCACCGCCACCACCACGACCACCGACCACCAATCCTTGGACAATTTCTTCTGAAGTAACAACCACTCCCGTTTCCCCATCCCTTCCATCGGGTAAGTCTTCTATGAATTATAGTTTGGGATGCATTCTTGATCATAAGATACAACTTAACAGCCAGTTTCTGGTCATAATCTACAACTAAACAGCCAGCCCACTGGGTGCAAATTGGACATCAATTGGGAAAATGCTTCACAAATACTAACATAGTTTTCTTCTACTAAATGTCGATTTGGTCAACAAAGCAGTCGCGCATCGGGCTCTACTTGTTGCAAAAGCCAAGGAGCGCCGCTTCGCAGCCGAAGTCGCTCATTTGAAATACTCCGAATTCGACTGGTCCATCCCTGTTGAAGACTTTGGGAAGCGATGTTTTCTCAAAGACATGGGATGCAAAGGGGCATCAATTGAGGACCTAGCAAGCCATATGAAGACAGTAGCCCATCTGGTAGGTACAGTTCATTTCGATGTCAAATCAAAGATACTAACGGCTTCAAGCAATGGGATGAGACAATGCGGCTGCAAAAACAAGCATCTATCCTCAAGGTGACGGGCCCTGAGGGTCCTAAGACCTCTTTATTGGCTTCAGGACATCATCACCATCCGCCCTCCCCCGGCACCTCCAAGGGCGAACCGCTAGACAAGGCTTATAAGACAAACCAAGGATAGATATACATCATCTGATCAATTGGAATGATCCGTAGATCAAATTTGGGAATGGAATGAAGATGTATATTGATAACAGTAATGGCGAGCTAGTCCACCAGAGCAAATTTCATATAATTACATCGCTAAAAGCAGATAAGCATTGAACCGTTCAACGTGAATCTGAATAGAGAACGATCGGAGAAACGGTGACGAGCAATCATATAGACCCAAAATTAGCTGCTGTTGAGACGAACGGTTGCTATAAGCCCGGCCTATTTTTGCTCCCATTTGGCAGCCAATTTGAACGAGTCAAGCCTCTCCGTCATCCCTCAGGGCAGTCGAGGCTATTATTTCGATCCTGTGTATCTCACCTTAAAACACCAGTCCAGAAAGTATGCAAGCAATGAATAAATTGGAGTTTGTGAAAGCAGTAGCTCCGAGCTTAATAACAATGCTTTCAACAGCCAGTCTAGCTGAACGAGATATCTAATTACCTCCGGCTGATTGTATTCATCTTCTTTGCTCAATTTGGTCTCGATTCTCAAGCCAAGGCAACCCAAATATGGGAAACCATAATTTCTCAATTTCCATATCCTCATCCTAAGCCCAGGGCTCAAATGGCTAGCAAATCGACCCCAATACGATCCATTAAGTCGCAAACGCCGCCGTCCCAAGTATAAGCAGTCTGGTTCGAAATTTGAGGCCCAATTTGACCCAAATTGATCAAAATAGCGAATGTTCATCTCAAGAGACCTTTAATGCCTTCAAATAGGCTACGGGGAGCCTGCCTAGCCTTCCACGACACGTGGTGCCGCTGGCGCAAATTGATGGGCTGGGAACTCGATTGAGTCCTCCATCTTTTCACTTGCCGCATAGAGTGCACGGTATCCGTCCACAATCTTCTCCAGCTCGCCAAGGAAGCGGAAGGCCTCACAAAGGCCTTCGGCTCCCTCGATAATCTTAATAAGCGGCCTCACAGACCCATCAGTTGCCGGGCGGGAGATACGGCGCAAAATCGCTAGGAGGTCTTCTTTGTCGACTTGCCCATTTTGACGCCCATTTCGCTGAATCCTGGTCAATTCCTTGACGTACGCTTCGAGCCTCTCCACATCATTCCTCGTTTGGGATTCCAGGGAGACCAATTTGCTGCGAAGAGTGTCCATTGACAGTCCCTCATCCTCAAGTTCCTCGGCGAGGCAGTGGAGGGAGGGATGGCTATGGTTCTGGAAACCACTCTCAGTGATGATCTTGCGGACCTTCTTGGAAAACTCCGCCCCTCGAGCTAATTTCCAATCCTCGATCAATTTGGGCTCCGTTTTGGACCGATGGAAGAGGTCAATCCTCTCCATTCCGATGGGAGTGATCCCCAAAATACCCCGCGGGGTGATCTTAAAATAAAGATGGTTGATCAAACCACCCTTTGCTGCCACGCGTAGTACCTCATTTTGGGCAATTGAAACAAATTGGCAAACTCCATTCAGGTTTGCATCCGAAAGGCCCCCGAATTCCATCGAATCAGTAGTGCGGAGCTTCTTGTTTCCGCGTTCGTCGTCGGCGTACATTTCTTCTTCCACTTTGCGCTTTGTCCCGTCGTAGCTGGTGCCAATGAACTGCGCAGGTATCTGACCTCCCTTTGGGGCCAATTCCGCCTCCAATTTGGCATTTTCATCGCAAAGCCTGTTGTTTTCAGTGCAAAGCCTATCGTTTTCAGCGCAAAGCCTTTCATTTTCAGCGCAAAGCCTCTCATTTTCACTGCGGAGCCTGTCATTCTCCAATTTGAGCCCCTGATGACTGGCCATCAAGATCTCAGCGGCATACATAGGCGCTGGAGCCATCTCTCCCTCTGTTCCAGGGCCGTTGGCAGGACCAGACCTCCAAAATGTTAGCATGGCACTTGCAACAGGGTTTCTGGTAATGGAAAATGGTACTCACATGGTGTTGGTGATGCTGCTGAGGTTCAAATTGGGCTGTTGCGGAGACCAGTAGCTACATACAAGTTAGCTCCCGGGGTGCAATTTGAAGGTTAGGTAGGGCGTGTTTGCATACAGAGGGGCCGTGATGGAGATGCTTCTGGGTTTGTTTAGGTTGCTGCTAGGACAAGTAGCTACACATAGGTTAGCTGCTGTGTTATAATATAAAGCAGGGAGGGAGTGTGCATACGGGCGGGTGGTGATGATTGTGATGAAAGGGAGAAGAAGTTTTCCTTGAGCCGGAGAGGAAACGCAGGCCTTAAATAGTTGTCACCTTGCATTTGGGAAGTAGCGAACAATGTAGCAAGATGCGTACCTGCCCTACAAGCGTTGAACAATAACACACAATACACACGACGTGGTGCTCAAGGCCGGCATCACGGGGAAATAGTGATCAGTACTTGAGAGGTACTTAAATCCCAGTGTATTTGCCGCGGAACTTAATGTACCTTATAGTATCTACTCACTTCTTAAAGAAGTATTAGGGTATGAGGCTCACAGCACGTCTTCACTCTACCCACTCCACGCAGGCCGGTGGTGCTTTTTTCTCTCGCTCTGGTAGCCTTATTGACCTTTTGGACTTTCACATTATCCCTTTTTCAGCTTTTCCAATACTGCGTTCTTTCTTGCTTCCCGCGATTCAGCTTTCTGGGCGTATTGATATAACAAGCCCCTTGCTACATAGACAGCCAGATAAACCCAATAAAAACACCTTGTAGAGATATAAATCCATCGGACTTTTCTCCCGATGCGTATGCTTGCCAATCACCGTCAAGCTCACCCTGCATGCTGATCATTCCATGTATCGCGACGTCCCATCGCTCATCCGCTCAGCGCATCATACGCTTTCGTGGCCACCTAAAGGGATTGGGAAAACGGAGGCTACGGTGATTTCTTTGGTTGCGATAATTTGGCGTAAGAAACCATTTGGCCCCTCGGCCGGCTACGACCTTATTACCACATCAGGGCTCAGGATCCCTTGTTGATGCTTCCGTCGCCACTTGGAGGAACTGGAAAGATTAGGCCTATCATTATTTCTTTAGCTATGGTGGTTTGACAATTGATAATGATGATACCGAATCTATTCTAGGTTAAGAAAAAGACGAAAAAATTCCCTAGCCTTGGTATGTAGCGACGGGCCGGCTTCCAGTCTGAGTGTCCAATCGTCCTCACTCTACAAGTACAACGTCCTACCAGTTTCCTCGCCTTTAGGTCGCCACTGAAAGGCTGTTGCTAGTACCGGTTGCATTTGCAAAGATTGTTGCAAGGCCCAGGCTACCTGGAAGGCTGGGGTTCTTCTCACATATCATCCTGAAGCGAGTAAGTATTATATATCCCTCTTGCTACCTCTATTTTGCCTGCTTGTTACCTTCTTATTACTTTCTTTTTACTTTCTTGTTCCTTTTTTATTATTTCCTTGCTACCTAATAGCTCATATGTGGAGTTCTACTCGAAGGCCGATCGATTGAGGAGGGCCGGCTGTGTTATCTCCAAAGGCACCGCGGGGCAATAATTTTTTTCATCCTGGAGCTCTCTTGTCATGAATATCTCCCAATAGTCGATCACTTAAAGCGAAAATCATGAACATGAAACAAATTGAATCAGCAACATGGGCTGCCCGAATGGAACAATTTTGCTGATCATAAAGGCCCTGCAGCAACGTTCTTACCATGAGCTATGTGTAGTAAATCCTAGGCAAGATGCGGAGATCGACCTCAGAAACTACATGACGGGCTCGCCCTGTCCGATTACAGTTTGCACAAGACTCATTCTAGAATGTATTACTCAGGGGGATTTATAAGGCTAATAGCAGGGGAGCCCATTCACTCTCGCGACGAGCCTCGCCACCGGATATTACTTGTGAGCAAAGGACCAACAAGTATTTTGGGTTCTTTTTCATACATGGGGTGCGGTGCATGAGAACACGCTGGGTTTATTTGGATGGGGTGTTTTTAGAGTTCTAGATCGCTTCTGGAAGGCAAAGGCTAGGCTCGGCTTAAGCATTTGATCTCGCCCGTCCAGAGTAGCAGGAGGGAGTTCTGGGATGAGCGGTCTGACGCAGTCAATGCCAAGGGGACAACAAAGACATTCAGCTTGTTACTAGTAGTAACAAAGTACTTCTGAAGGCCACCGAGAAGCTTGGCGAAAGGTCATCTGAATGCTAGAAACGATAGATTGCCTGGAACTCATCTATCCGGGGGTGTCGAGGGCGAATCCCAGAAGAATTGTGGGAATGTAAGACACCCAAACACCCCCGGGACAACGGCAAATGCATCCAGAGCGAGGCGAGGTATAGATCGATTGGCTCAGGCCAGCGCAAAAGAGGGGGACCGCGAACAACTCTCCGACGGTGTTGCGGAAGAGCGGAAGGAACATGAAGGCTGGTCGCACGACCTCAACGCCGACGAGAAGGGTTGCTCACGCACCGATTTTTTGTCGATGGTATCAGTGTTAGGATATTCATACCCCCGGACACTGATGTGGTTGCTTTGCAGCCAGATTTTATGTAAGAAGACGTCAGTTTTAGAGGAAGGTAGCAGTCTCTTTGAAATGCAGTGCTCAAGTCCCTCGGGTAGGTTCTGTTACTGCCACGGTCCAGAAATATGATAAATTGAAAAGTTAGGAATAAAGGATTTGACCCGAGGATTTGTGGTCAGAGGGGCATGTGATCACTGAGAGAGGGGAAATATCGACTTCAAGGAAGTTGGCCAATGAGAGGTTTGAACGAAAGAAATTCAGGTTCTATTGGTGGAACTTCTGGACGTGGCTGAGGAGGTCACACTTGAGGAGACAACACAAGCAGAGGAACGAAGTACCTGCATTGTGTAGAAACACGGGCGGGGTTGTCATATTGAACTTGTTTCCCTAATTTTCCCACACCCAAAATAAAGCATTAATTCAACTTGTGCATTTTTTCTCAATGCAACATAGCCGACACTGGCCACGCATCGCAGGTGGCCCAAATTGTGGATATCGAAGACTCAAAGGGGAGTATTGAGCTGAGACACGGCATCTTATTAGGTATTCGATCTGACCGGCTGCAAGTACCTTAGTCATAGCAATGCGTCTTGCTCCCTGACCGATATTTGCAAGCATAGATGAGCAGGGTATGGCTCGTCTTGATCAAACAGTAGTCTGCAAGACGATGGAGGGTGGTTGATCTCCGTGTGAGTGCATGTGACCTACTCGTTTCCTTGGGGTGTTCGAAGTCCTTCTCTGTGAGATATTTGCAAAGATTTTTAACATATTTTGTTTCTTTTTATGTCCCTTCAATTTCCTTTTTTGCATCTTCTGTAGCTGTTTATCCAGGGCTTGGGGAGCACACGGAGCACGGGGATGGAACACTGCAATGTGATGTGACCCTACCTGCTTTTATTTGCGTCCTCGCCTTAGGCTCCAGTGCATTTTAAGCAAACAGCGTCAGCCGGTTGGGTATGAGCGAGGAGTGCATGAGCCTAATAGGGGCCAGACCTTTGCCTATCCAAGCCGTAAGCGCTGGAAGTACGCTCTGTCGTCGGATCGTGCACACATTGGTCCAGCGGACATGGGGCCAGTGAGTGCGACAAGCTGCGAAATTTGACATGTCTCACGCAGGAGAGAATGTAAGAAGAAAAGAGAATTGAAAGAAGTAAGACGCGGTGTGAGCATGGCTGGTCGCATGAGAATTTGATGATTGTTCGGCACTGATCGTCAAGCACACCCCCTCCATTCCCCTCACCCAATAACCAGGTTTGATGTGAGGGGACAGCGGAGGACGAGGGAAGGGGACACATGCTTGCTCTCCCCGTGGGCCAGAGACTGACAAGGAACAGGGGACGGAAGAATAGCCAGCCACAGCTGAAACGAGGGATGCACCCAAGGTGGTTGGTTGAGTGTTGCCAACAGCACGTTACGTCGCCCGTGTGCGGTCAACCGGGCGGCGCCTGCATGAGAAGGTTCTTTTCTTCTTTTATTGCCTAGTCAGATGTCTTGTCAGTGTGGAGGGCCAAAACCTTTGTACCGACCCCGGATACGCACCCCGGACTTGGGAGAGGATGATGATGCTGGGCTATGCAGTGTAACCCGCAGCTGGAGCCAAAAGGGAGGGGAAGGCTAGGCCCAGCTAATCCAGCGACTGTGTAACGATAATTCCGAGAAGAAAAGTAGGGCGGGGAGCAGGGGTGCTTGCCGTTGCTGAGCTTATCCGCACTTTTGTCTGCCCTCCTCGGCATGTATTCCGTGGCCATCTCGACTTTGCCTCCTATTCCCGCTTTCTGGTATGCGTATACCGTAACAGTGCGTCGACCGCCCCTCTCGGAAAAGGTTCGAAAGAGAGGCGTTCAGTAGCGTTGCTCGGGCATCGACGAAGCAAGGCGTGAACGAGGATGAGCGGAATCCAAAGAGCTCTGGGCTCGATTGAGCAGCGACACTATTATTAGCCCTTGGCTCAATGAGGAAAGCCGGAACTAAGCAGGAAAGTGAAGCTGATACAGGCGAGGATTGGAAAAAGAAAGCAAGAAACTAGGGCCACGGCGCGCTCTTTTCGGCCATGGTGCCTCGTCGTGTCTGTGGGCGTGCGTGAATGGATGGATGGTAGTGTGTCTCCCTAACCCTCACCTTGACTTGGTGATCCTGCGCAAGTCGGCGATGTCCTGACAGCTCTTTCGCATCAGCGGCTGCCAGCTGGGTTTGACAGGGTGTGACACGCCTAGTAAAAAAAGAGACACAACCTGCATATCCACATTCCGATATCCCAGGATATGAAAGCAGGTTGTGGGTGAGGGCGACTGCACCGTGGTTGGCCGGGAGCGGGAGGGAGGGTGTGAAGGGCAGCAGGGGTAAGTATGGGGAAGAGAGATGGACTGAACCAGGGGCGCGCGGAAACCCAGTACGCCAGCCTCCCTGACTGTCGGTTAGTGATGGTGTTGGTAGTCATGCTGCTTGGGTGAGGCGATGGTGTGCCGTTGAATGTCGGTGGCCTGCGGGACTCGGCGAGGGAATATGACAAGTCAGAAGAGGTGGCTGTGCGACAACAATGTTGTGGGAGGGAGAATAATGGGCTGGGAGTCACGACGAGAGGAGGAACGAAATAATGGATTTTGATCAATCAACGACGCGGAGAGGAGCAAGTGCAGGTGCATGCATTGTCATGTGCAGCCACCACTCAGCGCTCGCGGCCGGTGGAAACAGCGGCAGGTTAGTGGGCAGAGGCGCTGCACCAGCGGGCCCGGCAGACTGGCACATCACTGAACCGCTCTGCCAGTGGCCTCCATTGCAACAGCAGAGGCCCGAGTGGTCCGCTTATTGCGTGCTGCAGTCACCCGACAGCTAGCCAGCAGCCGTGTCTGGGCGAGAGCTAGTGGACTAGTGCCTGGCTTGGGCGCTAGTCGAGGCTTTGACGTGAGGGATCATCTCTCGTAGTCGGGACTCGCGCAGTTGTTGTCTTGCTCGTCGCAGACATGGAGGGCTGGCTGGAGGCCTGGATGGTCGATGGATGGAGCATGTGGCCCGTCTGGCGCTAGGCTAAGCTGGATCGATGCAGTAATAAACCACCGGCTCGAAACAGCATCGAATCACACACACCGCACCGCTCGCAGACAAGTCAATACACGTAACTATTTGCTGTGATCAGATCAGACCCGCCCGCGTTTCCCATTTGGATCTTCTCATGGCAACGTGACCACCGGCCCGGCCCCAGCAGCCCGCGTCGTCTGCTCCTCGAGGGCCCTTTATTCATCATGTCCGTGTCTCGCCTCTCGTCCCGTCTCTCGAGTCTCGCCAGCAGCAACCGGCCCTGAGCTTCCATCGTCTGTTCCGAGCTGTTCTGCTACACACCGGCACTCATAACCCAGATCCTCCCCCACATCTTGCTTCCCTTGCCTTGCCACTCATCCATCCACTACGTTCCTGATCTTCTCGACCTGCCATTTCTCCACCCAACAAGCACCGTCGAGCGGCAGCTACTTTGGCCCTATTGCATTCCTCCACCTCCCTCCACACGGTTGCGCCCGCACAGCAGACGCTAGGCAAGGCCCGAGCTTGACTCCCGTCCGAATCTCCAGCACGAGCCAGCTCCGGGATAGCTTCATCAAACTGCATGGAGTGTCGTGTGGCCCGTCGCCGTTGCAGGACCCGATTGATCATGCCAAGAAGTGACTGAAGTGCGCCAATCCTCCTCATCGCGTCCTCCCTCTCTCCCAGGTCCTCCAGGGCCACACCACGAAGAGGCCGATTTGTGGCACAACGCCAAGCTGCGTTTAATCGGGGCTCCTGGGCCTTGACCTGGCTCCGATCTGATGCAAATCCACGACGCCCACTCGCCCGCCGAGCCCTTGGACTTCCTCCAGGCCTGGGGAGCCGTCCACTCCACCGTCAAGGTCCACCACCTGGACACGCCCGCGCCTGGCCAGCCCACGCCGGCACTACTCTCTGCCGTCCCGCGGTCTCCCGCCGTGCGAGATGAGGCCATCCAGGCGCTCCTGGGCGCCGGCGTGTGCATCTCCCTGACGGACGGCGGCGCCTGCAAGGCCACCGCGGTGGACGAGACTGCACGATGCAATCGGAGGCCGCCTGCGCGCCGCATCGCCCTCCGCGGGGACCGCGTCTTCAAGTTCGAGCCGCCCGGCCCTCAGCTACAGCCGTTCAACTTCGCGAGCTCCTCTCGCAATGGCATGGCCGGCCTACTCAAGAGGGTGCGTCACGGCCTGGACGTGGACGGGCCCAACACGGCTGACCTGGGCTGCAAGAAGCGTCGTCTGAGGATCGAGCTCATCACGAGCCGGCTGTCCCACGCGTACTCGCAGCCCGCGACGCACATCCTCAACCGCGAGGGCCAGAAGTCGGGCGACAAGCGGTTCCTCAAGATGGCCACCTCGTCAGTGGCGCCCGTCGCGCGGAGGCTCGCCCACCTGAGAGCGACGTCGTACATACGGTACTCGACCATGAACCGCCTGAGGCAGAGGCTCGGTATACCATGGCCGATGAAGACACCGGTGACGGTCCCGGATCCCGCACAACCGCAGGCAGCCTCGGGGACGCAAAAGGATGCCGACAAGGATACCAAGGAGGTACCTACGAGTTTGTTCGAGCTCAAGTCCAAGACGCAGTGGCGGCCTCCGTCGCTGCTCACTGCTTCGCGCGGGCAGTTTGTCCCGCTCGACGTAAAAGCTGCAAATCATAAGCCAGCCTTGGCCTCATCAGCTGCTACATCGTCACGGACCCCATCTGCTCCATCATCTCAGGCTCCCGCGTCAATAGCTTCCCGACCCCCTTCATCCTTATTGTCTCGGCTACCGTTGGCCTTGCCGCCTCGGCCTCCATCGGCTTTGCAGAACCGGCCCACAAACGCCTTGTCCCATTCGGATTCCTCACCTTCCCAAAACAACAAGATCCTCTCGTCAAATCCCGTGTCGTCTCTGGCCCATGCGCCTGATGCAGGGGCGGCAAAGGGCAAGTCGTCTTCCGGGCCTGCTCGCCCAATCTCCTCGCCCGAGCGACCTCCCACGAGCTCCTTCTACGACAACCTGGAAGAGGATAGCTTCGCGTCGCGCCACCTGATCGACGACGACTTCAACGATGCCGTGGACGATCCGGATGAGGTGTACTCGGACTTTAGTGTAATATTTAGTACTGACAAGAAAAAGAAGGGCAAGAAGAAGAGGGAAGACGGCGAGGGGAGCGGTTCGGATGATGAGGACGGGTCATACGAGGAGTTTCTTGATGAGCTCGACGGCATCTCGTGGGTGGCCTTCTAGACGCATCACAAGGCGGCATGGCATTGCATTAAATCATAAATCACGGGGTTTTGTATATTTAGATCATGGCGGGGTTTTTTTCAGACACAGTCTTTGTCTATTGAGGCGGCTACGGTACTGGCCAAGATGGGTTTTCTTCAACCCTTGGTGTTGGGATTTGGGAATGGCTGCATGGGAAGGATCTACTCTTGGATACAAAGGCGAACAAAAAAAGGTAACTACCTACTCAAGGTACGGAGGATTATTTAGGCTCTTGCGGGTGTTGACGATTGATCGGGCGCATGATTTAATGCCGAATGTTAATTGTATTCAGCTACTTGGCTGTCCGTCAAGAACAGCTTGTTTCTACTGATGTATCTGTTCATATTTCATCATCATACGTGAAAGTGAGGTTCAAACACCCCAAAATATCGCCGTCATCTCCTGTCCTTCAAACCAGCCAGCAGCAGCTTACTCTCGGCCGGAAAACGACCCCCGCATGGGCACCTCCTGCTCGTACATTCCCGACTCCTTCTTCATGTGCTTGTCGAAGCTCTGCGTCGACAGCTGCACCTTCTCGAAGAACGAGCGGTCGAGCACGGGCGCCGCGGCGGGGAGCTGCCCGCGCGACCGGGCCAGCGCGGACTGGTTCGCGTGCGAGTGGATGGCGAGGCTCGAGGCGATCTGGAAGGCGCTGCGGATCTGCCGGCCGTTCCAGCAGCCGGTCGAGCGGGCGAGGTCCTCGTAGTGCTTGGTGGCGAACTCGAGGATCTCGGCGTCCTTGATGACGAGGGGCGCCTCGCCCGTCATGCGGTGGCGCTCGGCCTCGATCTCCTTGAGCTTGGCGATGTTGATCTTGAAGATGTCGCGGGTTTGGGTCTTGTCGAGGGGTGGCTGTTGGGGTTAAATGCGGTTAGCAATTGCTTGGTGTTGAGTTGGGTAGAAGGGGGGGACTCACGTAGTAGAGAGACAAGTGAATTCTGCTCTTAAAAGCACTGTCAATTTGCCCAACTCTGTTGGTCGTCAGGAAGAGAAGCCCATTGTAGTATTCGAGCACTCGCAAGAAGACGGAGACGAGGGCGTTGCGCTTCATGTCGAGCTGGGATCGCTGGGATAGGAAGACATCTACACCACAACTGTTAGTTCAACTAGATATATCATTATTGGAATAAGAAATGCTGACCAGCCTCGTCTAAAAGCAACACGCAATCCCAGAGGTGTGCAAGACGGAAGACATTCTTGAGAGAAGATTCGACTTCGTGGGGGGAGAGACCGAGGTCGCCGCACGTAATCACGAACAGGGGCTTGCGGTTCTCCATGGCGACAGCCTCAGCCGTCGCCGTCTTACCCACACCCGGAACACCGTGCAGCAGAACAACTAAACCACGGCCCTTGCCCTGGATCAGATCCTGGTTGGGGCCCTCCATGGCCGAGTCGGCGTAGCGGCGCTCGAGGGCCTTGCGCTGGAAGTGGGACATGACCAGCCCGCGGACCACGTCCTTGTAGTCGGACTGGATGCGCAGGTTTTCGAACACGTTGGGCTCGCGGCGCACGGGGTTGAGGAAGTTGAGGTCGACGGGGAGGAAGCGGCGCTCGCGCAGGATGTAGGCGAACATGCGCTTGGGGACGAGGACGAGGTCCTCGTCGCGGAGCTTGAGGAGGGCCGGGTTGGTCTCGAAGGTGCGGGAGCCCTTGACGCGGACGCGGAGGAAGGCGTCCTGGTTCAGGTTGTCGCGGCGCTGGCGGACCTCGACGCCGTCCGACTTCTGGACGATCTCGGTCTGGGAGTAGGCGAGGGACTGGCGGTTGCCGTCGAACCAGTGCTGGACGGGCATTTCGTCGTCCTGGGCCTCACAGTTCATCGAGTGGTTGATGGCGAGCTGGTGGAAGCTGGGGCGCCAGTCGGGCATCTTCTGGTACGCCTCGCGGAGGTCGACGATCACGTCGCTCTCGACGAACTCCGGGTGGCGCATCTTCTCGTAGTCCTCGCTGTCAAGAATCTCATCATCGGGATCGTCACGGTGGCGGTGCGAGGGTGGGTTGCGGGTCAGAGACCAGGCGCTGTACTGCTGGTGTCGGTCGTCAAGGAAGTCTATGAACTTCCGGCCCTGGCTCTTGAGCGAGTCGATGAGCTCCTCGTGCCCATGGCGGTAACGGATGGGGAAGATGTCGAGCGAGTCGATCTGGCGCTCGCCGATGAAGGGCTCAATGGTGAACTCCTTGCGGACAGCACCGAAAGAGCTGCCGTCGTGGTCGATGTAGTAGGCCTTGATCTTGAAGTTGTTGCTGTCATCGTTGCTGCCGAAGAAGTCGTCACCAAACTCCCATCCCAGGGAGCGGTCTGCGACCTCGGGCTCGGGAACAGTGACCTTGTAGGTACGCCAAACCTCGTGGTATCGGCCTCCAGCCTCGCCTGCTGCGGGCATGTAGATGAGGTCGCCAGGTCGGAAGAGGTACCAGAGGTCGTCAAACTTGACCTTGTCGACTTCGTTGCTATCAAAGCGGGTGTGGAGAGGCATGACCTCCTCGTCAATGAACTTGACATAGCAGCGCATGTCCCTGAGAGCCTCAGGAGTGTCCATCAGGCTGTCAATGTCCTCATCCACGTTGGAATCGACAGACTGAAGAGACTCAGTGTCATCCTCGTCGTCACCGCCCTCTTCGTCTTCATCTGACTGGGCCTCATCGTCTTCAACAGCATCGTCAAACTCTTCAACCTCGTCAACAACCTCGATAGCCTCCTCCTTGGAAAGCTCTTCAGCGCTCTCGGATGAGGCCTCCTCAAAGTCGGCCCACTTCTCCTCCAGAGTAGCAAGAATCTCCTTCATCTTGGGCTGGAAGTAGATAAGGGGCTTGAAGGGGCGCATGAATGTGCGGGGAGTGGACCTCGTGTTGGACTCGTTCATCAGCGAGGTCAGGTATCCTAAAACGGGCTGTGACTGGACACGGATACGCGAGATCTCAGTGTCAGTAGACTGGAGCGCCTCGGTACGCTTGGCAATCTTGGCCTTGTCGGCGGCAGTGATGGGTCGTCTCTTGCGCTCGTAGGCATTGTCGTGGATGTCAAGGTACTTCTTGCGCATGCGGGCCAGATCCTCTCGGTGTCTGTAGCTACGCTCTCGGCGCATCTGGGCAGAGATGCTGGGGCCAACCATGAGAACATCAACGGCGGCCTCGGGCTCGTCCGTTCCGCCAAAGCGGTTCTTGAAGTTCTCGAAGTTGACCTTGCGGATCTCGGGCACCTTGGGGCGCCACTTTGCCTCAACACGGCGGCGGTCGGCCAAGATGCGCTCACGGCGCTCTGCCTCCTCCTGGAGGGCCATGAAGCCAATGTTGTCACCCCCGCGAGTAGCACGGGAGGGGGCCTTGCGGCGCCCACCACGAGAGGTCTGCTTGGTGCGAGCCATGGTTGCGTGTAAGTGAATGAAAGGAGTAGACGACTAAGCAAACAAGCAACAAATGTATGTGACCCTTGGGAGCAAATGTGATAATGAGACGCGAAGATGAGGTGTTAAGCAGGGAGAGAGAGATACAGAGGAATTCATCTTGATGAGCTGGGGGACAAGCCGTGAGATATAAGGTCGGCAGCTCTGCCATCTCGCGGGGTACGATGTTGTGATTCACACCGCTGTGCCGCTAAGACGAGACCAATTCACCTCCAGCATCCATTCATTGATGTGGGCCAAGCAGGCAGCAGCTGCCAGTGATCGCTTCACAGCGTACAGCACGACAGCGCGTATAGCAACACGCGGCGTAGAAATCAGCACGGCTCAGCCCTAGACCAGCGCAGATCTCAGCACGGCACAGCCCCAGCTCCCCGTTAATGCAGGATGCCTTGGCCAAGCAGTCAGCCTGCAATGAGACGGACCCAAGTGGCTGTCAGCTAACAGGGACCATAGCCATCTCGATAAAACAATAGTTGTCGTGGTCACATATGAATGCTTCTTGTTGTGTAATAATAATTTAATAATTATGGCCAAAAACCACCCAATACTCTGAATTTTTGTTAATTCTCTATAGATATTGTGGCCTGTATTGAGTAAAACACCTTTGCAGTCGGTCCCTGTTATTCTGCTTCGTGAAGCGCCACCGCTTGGTAATGCGCCACTATAATCTCACTAGCAGCAAGCTTCAGGCAGCACAGCCCAAACTCTCCAATGCCCTCACAACAGGACATTTCGGCGGCCCAATAGTTTGCGGAGCTACCCTCCAGCTGAAACTCGGCACTCAGAGCTGACAGAGCCGTTCACTGGCCGCTATGCCTGTTACGGTATGAACATTTGCTGGTCACAAAGAAGCGTGAAGTCGGTATGATTCACACTCCGAGATCACCGCTGCATGCTTCTAAGCTCCCCTCCTCCTTATCTCGTGTCAAGCTACTTGATAGGGCAGCGGATCGTCTTGCGCCATCCATTCACGACAAGCATGTCCATCCTGCTGATCTGACTTGACTATTCTAGGTCGTAATTCTCAGATCAATGCATCTGCCATTGCCAGTTGGCGTTCGGGCCTGGGAATGATGCACTACGAGGCACCTTTTTGGACAGACTGGGGAGCCAAGCAGTGGCTGAAACTAAACCTGCCACACCGGAACGCCACAGCTCAGCCTCAAATCAATCCCCTGCATCCATCTTTTGTCAGAGCCAGCCAATACTCCAGTCGCTTAACAAACGATTGGGTTTTTACAGAGTTATTTTCTGTTGACTTGGGTCTTATTCTTTATTCTTTGGTCATCTAGCAGCTCTCACTCAGGTATCAGATAACCTTCCCGCTCTAATTAGCCTGTTGACTGCCGCTGCCAAAATCTGGCGGACAGTTTAGTCCGCTGCTATTTTTAAAGTTCGTAGAGATCGTTGAATGTGCTCATGCCGTAAATTGCACAGGAGACAATCTGTAGCTTCCACAAGGTATATTCAACCTATATGATCTTACATTGACATGAATCAATACTTAATATTTCATCACAGAATTCATTAATTTTCATCAGCATGTCGCCTCAAATGAATATTTAACTAATTGCC